TCTTCATCATTATCATCGTCATCATTGTTGATTATTACTGATTCAGTTTCGACAATAGTGGATGTTGTTGTAGCTGTTGATTCATCTTGATTGTCAAGAGGTTGTTCTCCAGATGCAGTGGTGGATGTAGCGGTGGTGGTTGATGATGATGAGGCAGTGGCTGTTGAAGTTGATAATTCTGTTGATGACACGTTTAATTTCTTTTTTCCTCTCTTTTTTTCTGATTCAAAAATATTGAAATTTACTTTATTTGGAGAAGTAGTTACTGGAGTAGGATTTATTGTATGAGAAGAATGATTATTATAAGGAGTAAAAGCAGATTGCGAAGTAATAATAGCTGATGTAGAGCAAGATCCAGAGTTTGGAGAAGATAGTAATTGTTTTTGTTGTTGTAATGTGGTATTGTTTGTGGTAGAAACCATGGTAGAAGGAGAAGGCAGTGTGTTAGGATGGTATTGTGAAGATTGTATGTAATGAGCAGTGCCACTGGTAGTTGTTGATGCATAAGATGATGACAACTCAATTGAACACTGTAATGTTTGTGTGATGTAAAATATTTGAAAATCTACAAAATGTTAAATAATAGCTTAATAGATAGAAAATTGTTAAACTTGCTGGAATCTCAACATTATCCTTAGGTAATAAATTTTTTAGACATTCAAAAAGTTCTTGAGTGTCCAATGGTGTTGGTGGTGGTCCTGGTAGAATCTTCTTGATACTTTCAAACAGATCCTCTGTATCAATCCATTCATTAATGGTAGAAGATCTACATATATAGTATAAAATTTAATATGAAACTAGAGTGACGACGAGTGGCGGGCGATAACCACCACCATTCTTAAAACACTTACCCCAATGCACCAGATTCTGTTTCACGATGTCTTCTCTTATTGGTTTGACTATACATTTTTTTTTAAAAAAAGTTTAAAAAAGAACTAGAGTGACGACGAGTGGCGGGCGATAACCACCACCGCCATCCTTAAAAACACTTACCTTTCTCTTTCATGTGGGTCTATGTTTTGGTTTTTTCTTTTGTTGTTGTCGTGTTGTCGTGGCATTAATAAAAATTTTTAAAAAAAGTAAAAGTTTGTGATACAATCGACGCGTACACGCTAATTATTTATCCTATGGGTTTTTTTGGTAGGACAGGCGCGAATTGATTTTTTTTTTCTTCTTGGAAAAACAATTTATTTTTTGACAGAGTCCAAGGTGACAAAACGTGAGTGTTGTTGTTTGGTTTGGCTTGGGTCTCCTAAAGAAAACGTGTTAATAACTAACCAGAGGTACTTTTTTTTACTTGTATTGATTGATATTTTTATTTTGGTTTATAAACATTTTAATTGGAAATCAAAACGCGGAGCAGATCTTGCTGGGTAATTACAGGATTTTCATTGATAATATTTGCTTTTCGTAATCAATAATATTAATAATATTAATATTACTATAAATAATTACAAGAAGATGTCAAGGCAGCACACCATTGAATATGAAACATTTTGAGTATGCAACATTTGATTACAGGAAATTGGCAGGCGTTGAAGCATGCACGTTGCCTTGAGCACATTACAGTCATTCTCACGTATTCCTCGTGTACATAAGGCTAATCTGACTACGGTGCTCCCGATGATACAATGATGTTGAATTCCAGGGGGGGGGGAAAGGCCCTGGAGTTTACCGAGACTGCATCAATCGTCAATGACACTTTCACTAATCTTCCTCACCAGAGATGGCTGCTGGCACGCTAGCCGAAAAGTCGACTGCAACGATCCCGCCTCTAGGGTAAGGATGACACTGTGACCAAGTCGTAACTCTGCTGATGAATATTAGTGCCATGTAAATATCCAGATCCATCAAAGCAACGAGAACCTGCAACTCGTTTCCAGCACAGGAGGTTGCAATTCAGAGCAGGGTTGGTGGCCTGAAATTGCATTTGGACTCTGATGTTAAGAGGAAAGTTGTAAAATAGTGTTTGTTTTGTATAATCATTATTTTCATAAATGCTCTGTTTTTCTGATATTAACTAACCATTTTATAATTTTGGGTAGGGGACTGGATTGGGTTTTTGCTCAATCAGTTCTCTGTCCTGTAGGGTAAAATTATTGCATGATTATATATATATCCTTGTCAGCAATATGGCCAAGGAAAAAGTTATAAAATGGTTTGGATTTTGTTTGGTATGTTATAAATTAAACATTTTCCCAAATTTTCTGTTTCTCTTTAATTTTTATCTGACCAACTGAATTTGTTATTTTAGTAAATGGAGTAGGTTGTTGGTGAGTAGGCATGCCACTGACAAGACAGGGGACACCTTTGGGATGTACCAGCCAAACTCATAGAAAGGGATCTTTTGTCCAGGCTTAGGGTCACATGGATGTTAAGCACAGAAAATGTACACTATCAATGTATATATTTTTTTCAACAAAATAAACATTT